AGATGTGTATAAGAGACAAATTAAATTCAGTGCAATTAGAATGCATGATATGGGCTGGTCCTTTCTTACCCCATGAAGGCTGCGATCCTGTCTTACCCCATTTGACTATACTTCCTGGTCTGCCTCTGCTTATAGGACTCAAAAATGAACTTGAGGATGGGCAGCAAAAAACATTCTACTTTGCTATTATGCCTGAGTGCTTGAACTTAGGCAAAAAATTTGAGCTTTTTTTGGAGATCAAGTTAAGTTCTTGCCTGTTGAAATTTTCAATTTTAGCTAGCCTAGTGACCTAGTGTTTCATTTTGAATAAAGTAATGTACTATATTTTATTTACCATACCTATACAGTTAATATATGTAATTTTTGTGTCAAGTTTTTTATTATGTTATTTATGTCTGCTCTCAGTCTATCTCTAGTGGTCCTTAACTCCTAAGAGCGTAAGAGGCTAAGCAGCCTCTTAATTTTTCTTGAAATTGAGTTTGAAAAGCATTGTTTTTTTTACAATTACACTGAAAAGTTAAGAAATAATTTTTTGCTAATTATTTAGAAGTTAGGAGATAGGCTAGCTTAATTTTTAAAATGTTTTGATTATTAGCAATTTTTAGTGGTAACCAATGAATCGGCAATAACAAATCTAAATTCTAAAGTTTGGAAAAAATTTACTGGCATTCATGTAATCTTGTTTTTATTGATTTACCATAAAATGGGGTAACTTAGACCACTTTTGTTCTTATAAATGATGCCATTTTCTTACTAGCTAAATTAAACTTGAATTGAAACATGCAAAATACAGGTCTATACTCTAGCTTCACTCACCATAAAATGACAGGCTTTAAATAATAGCTTTTTTTTGTGGGTCACATTTTTAATTTTTTAACCTATTAGATATGCAAACTTTTTAAATCTTTCTATTGTGTTATGTAGCCTCAGTGTTTGGCCTTTAATGCCCATTGACAAAATTTTTCTATGTCAAATAGTTTTTGAGTTGTGGGGGTTTTTGTAAAAAAAAGAAAAGTGGTCTAAGTTACCCCATTTTACGGTACCTACTTTCCAATTTCTGTTGTAAATAATTATATTACTCATGGCAATTAATGCATCCAAAATGTAACAATTATCTACACAATTTTTTTGACAAATATTTATATTGAAATTGAAATGCGTGGTGACCTCCGGTCATGACCTTTATATCGCTCATACACGCTGCCTAAAAACTTTTACTAGCATCAAAAAATTAAAAGTTCACACTAGTATCATAACAAAAAAGTTCAATTAAACTGTATTCACAGCAGTCCTAAGAAAAAAAGCTTTACAATTTCATTTATTTTGTTTTGCAACAACCTAAAAAAATAAAACAACGTACTAAAACAATTTGGCACGGTCAAATTTTATTTTATATTCAAACTTGTCACTGCAATATCATAACTGCTGATCTGCATCATGGCAGATCTGCCTTTATAAATCCCATAAGTAAACCACATAGTATATTGGATAGCTGCATTATCATAAGTAGATATTGAAAAAAAAAAAGATTAATTAATTCAAAAGATTAAGAATGAACTGGTTTCCAAAAAGACTCTTCTTAGCTACTATCCTAACAAGTAGCTTCATCATAGGTTGTAATTGTAGCAAGAGCAGAGTACTGTTGTTGTTTGTATGTTTTAGTTCAATTTTGCCATGTCACTTGCTTGGTAAGCTGAGTTTTAAGGGAAAGTGCATTTTTATGATTTTTGATGTAACTAAATGTCATGTGTAGTTGTTAGTTCATATATTAATTCTTGAAATCTCCACTCTGCAATGCAACTTTAGATTCCGTTGAACAATTTCACCACATTGAGTGTGACAAGACTAACCTGTGGGTCGCAGGGTACCAAGGACTGAGTAATTTAGTATCTTTAACTTTAAGTGAGAAATGACTGCACTAACTGGGCTCATCTGGAAGTGAAGTTGATGCTAAAAAAATCTGCTGGACCATTTTGCACGTGCAAGAATTATGCTCAGCTCATGTTTATATATATCCATACAATTGACAATGCTAGCTTATCAGCAGCTTTGTGAAGAACTTAGTTATATCAAAGCCTTGAAAAATGAAATGATTATTAGAAAGTCAGAAGTGAACTGCTTTAAATTGATAGTGAAATTATGAAATTATATCACTCAACTGTGTTCTAAAATCAATCTTTTTTTCTACTAAATACATAAATGTTTTTCTGTATTTTTTAAGTTGGAAAAAGTGAAATTCTTCAAGAATTCTAGTTCAATCTAAACAATTTTAGTTAGTTTGTCATGTAAAATTTGTATCAGAGTATCTTTTAAATTTTGGGTGCCACAATCTTGAATCCTTTCTGTTAAGCTCATGTTGAACAAGAAATCAGCTAATAATCAGATTAAAGTTATCTAGCTCATTTATTAGTCCACAGTTTTTGCAGTGCTGTGTACAGTTACTGGTAGGTTAGCAAATGGTTGAAAATATAGCAATCTGAATGCAACCTTAGATTCTGTTGAACAATTTCACCACAATGAGTGTGATAAGACCAACCTATGGGTAACAGGGTACCAAGATATATTTTTTTCAGACGAATTCTGCAATTTAGTTTTCTCAATTACATTGGCTAGCAAAAAAATGTATGATGGCAGTACTTCCTTATTGAATTTTGAAGTTTAAAATAAGTAATATTTAATTTTTGCACTGGAACTTGGAAATTATTAGTAAATATTGAATTACAGGCTTTTTTTTGTCTGCAGATTTGGCCATTTCTAGGCCATCTAACAACCATGGCTGGTTGTGTCACACTCAGTGTATTAACTAGCGGTGAAACGTTCAAATTTTTAGCCATTATTTGCTAGTGTAGTTATGCAGAAAGTTGATAAAAAATGGCACCAAGTTAGTTAATGCTAGGTTTCAATAGGTTTCACTTGTGTAATGTTGATTCAGTTCATGGGCATTAAATACTTCAATGAAACCATTTGCAAAGAATGCCAGCCAAAAATTTATATGAACTACCGTACTGGGTATTACTACTTTTTTTTCATTTTTAATTTTGGTCCCATGGATGGCCTGACAAATCATTTCCATTGTACATCTTCATTCTTTACTTCATTAACTGCACTGAATGAATTTGAATACGGTATTAACAAGTGAATAAATTGAACTAGAGATTCTGAGGTGACAGTTTATGAAATAAGGAGGAAGGTCTCATTGATCTACAACTTATTTATTAAATTTAGTAAATAAAAAGTGTATTAAGTCTAACTAATTATTGAGTGTTGTGTTATTTGCAGACCATAATGAAGCTAATACCAGATTCTCAGGCATTTGATGCCATTAACTCGGCACTGAACTTCAAGACCGTTGATGGTTGCATCATCGGCAGGTAGGTGACGAGTTCATCGCTCTATATAAACTTTATATAGTTATGATAAATATATTATTGAATTACCGATGCGCATATGTTTATTATGTATTCCTCAGTTGTTTTGTATGTGCAGTGTTGCCACGGCGCGCTTGCCTGCAGTGTTGCTACCGCGCGCTCGCCTGCAGTGTTGCCACTGCGCGCTCGCCTGCAGTGTTGCCACCGCGCGCTCGCCTGCAGTGTTGTCACCGCGCGCTCGCCTGCAGTGTTGCCACCGCGCGCTCGCCTGCAGTGTTGTCACCGCGCGCTCGCCTGCAGTGTTGTCACCGCGCGCTCGCCTGCAGTGTTGTCACCGCGCGCTAACCTGCAGTGTTGTCACCGCGCGCTAACCTGCAGTGTTGTCACCGCGCGCTCGCCTGCAGTGTTGTCACCGCGCGCTCGCCTGCAGTGTTGCCACTGCGCGCTCGCCTGCAGTGTTGCCACCGCGCGCTCGCCTGCAGTGTAGTCACCGCGCGCTCGCCTGCAGTGCAGCCACCGCGCGCTCGCCTGCAGTGTTGCCACCGCGCGCTCGCCTGCAGTGTTGCCACCGCGCGCTCCCCTGCAGTGTTGCCACCGCGCGCTCCCCTGCAGTGTTGCCAACTGCCCTGAAGGTCACTGGGTAGACAGACTCCCCGTGACGGGCGGGACTTCGCTGACAGTTGCCAACCGCGCCTGAATGCTATCATCGTTTGCTTCGTATTATCAATTGCGTCTTATCATCATTTGATTGGTATTATCGATTTCGTTTTATCAAATTTCAATATCTATTATTATTAATTACCTATTCCTTTTCTTGGACAGTGAATTTTCTTTGAATTAGTTTAAGAATCTATCAATTATTAAAGTAGTTTGTGAGGTTTTGTGTGCTTTAATCCATGTCGAATGGCAGAAGTACAATTAAACGAAAATTTACGTGGCAAAATTCTATATATGGTCTGATAAGGGGGAAACGAACATGACGCCGAAAAATCCACAATACGGGTCTGGGCATTTCCGGTACTGTTACTCACACGTATGCTAAATAATATGCGTTAAAAAATTTCTCTTTAAAGACAACACTTCTAAAGAGTCCAGTGTTTCAGAAGTTACACATGTAAAATAAATTTCTTTATTTTTTAATATTAAATTTTTTTTTAATGTTTCAAATATATAATTTTTTTATTATTTATTCTGTGAATTGATTCATGCATTGCCTCCGAATTACGCAAATGTGCGAAATTTTAGATCTATTGGACAGGTAGAAGTGTGTTGAATATCGATTATAAGATTGTTGAAGACTAACAGCAATAAGTGAAGTTAAAGAGAAGTGTTGTAAAATAAGACCTAAAGTTCCTAAATATATTGAAATATATCATTTAGTTAAACTTTTAAATCATATCCTCTTGCATCCTGGTAAAATTTATGTCACCTATCATTAGCTGTACAATCTATATTAATTATAACTGATTGATCTTCACTTCAGTAATCATATAATCACTTGACAGTTTCCAACTTAATATGCCTTAGAAACTTGGAACAAAAAACTGAGGTATTTACTAATGTTACCACAAATACTTTTTTGCCATCTGAGCTTACTATCTTAACCTGCAAATAACTCTAACCACATTTGCGGAACGGGCTATATGCTCATTGTGCATGGCATTTGAAATCTAAGTAGAGAGTTAAAATTGAACAATTTGAAGAGGTTGAACACGGCTCCATTAGCCTCTACTATTGCTCTCTACTCCGGCTATTATCTCCGCCTTATCTGCAATGCAACGATATGCATTGCGTGTCATGACTCAGGCACAGATAACGATGTAGGAAGAGATACTCAGTGATAGTACATCTTACGGTGGTCGTAAGTTTCTAGAGTGGGTGTAACTTTTAGTGACTGTACAGGAGGCCAATAGTGGCGGCCAGTAGTACTTTATCTCGCTAGTGGCCTCCTGTAAAGGGTCATAGGGCCCTTCCGCGGCCAGTAGCACGGTAAATTATGGTGGATAGTATATGAAAATTGTACAGTGGACCGGGTTCGTTTGTACAGTGAACCAATTTTTTCCATTAGATTTAATAGAAAAGATTGATCGTGCTGAGCCTCCACAAAAGTCCTTTCACGTATATATTGTACTTGCAATAAGGTGAAAAATAAATATTGTTATTTTGAGGTACCTATTAAGGCCTCTTTCTGACCAAAGATGGTGGCGATAATTATTTAATTTCGGCCGTAATTCGCCAAGTGGTCAGCCCGAATTTTCAGCCTTCTTGCCATTCCACTGAATTTTTCGGACTTTTTAGCGCATTTTCTCATTTAAGAAAAAAAAATGCACTATTGTGCTCACCATGTCTGTCCGTCTGTCTGTCCGTCCGTGACTTCAAGTTTTCGTCGACGAGAAAATGCGTGCTCTGTCAATCACTGCAGTGAGTACTGAGTTATTTTTTTCCGATCTGACGAGCCCGAACAGAGCGCGGATGTAGCACTGATTCGCCATTTTACTGGGCCAAACTGGAATAAGATGACCCACACAAGAGTAAAAAATATATCGCTATTTGGACCAAGTTCTACATTTCTCTGCGTGTAACCCTCGGGCGTGACCCTTGTGTCACCCCTCCTCGCTATCGGCCTCGCGCTTCACAGTTCAAGGATAAGCTCTCTATTATTCAGCTATCCATCCTGAATTATATTAGACCAGCTGACTTGTAAGATATCTGGTTCTATTTAATTCATGACCATTTAATATGTATAGATACATCTTATGATAAACACTACGCGGTCTATTTACGATAGCTATTCAACTGCTAACTAATTTTTTGTCATACAGCGATGCACAACTGCAGTATATAGTGATGTACTAAAGCTGTATTTATATAATGATGCACAGAGTGTTTATGATGCGCAATATAAGCAACAGAGAGCAGCAGCTGAAGCGTCAGCTGCTGCCATTTCTAACCCGAGAGTTGGCGGGTTGCCCCTGACACCCCACGTAGAAAAATGAGCGAGTCATTCGGCCAAATAGTGACACACTTTTCTACCCGTCGCACGAGCCGGGAAAGGACGTAGCGCTGATAAGCTCTTTTACTGGGCCAAATTAGGTCAGGATGACCTACTCAAGGAGAAAACGTGACAATTGGACAATTTCTCCGTCATTTTTTCTCAGTGCACTCTTATGTTGTTGGCAACCGCGATGTCACGGGATCACGTGTACGCTGTGTTTATCCTGCTTACATTAACTGCTAGTGCAAGGGCTGATATGTTTTGCATAGATTTTGCGTGGGTTTTGTCCTAGTTTATATATTTATATTTAGGTATTCAAAACAGTCCTTGTACACTCGTGTGATGATTGGTAGTACCTGTACGGTCTGATGAAGTAATGTACATTGTACACCATGTTACAGGCTGGAGAGCTACTCCTGTAAGCTTGTCAGCCAGGAGAAGGCTCTGTACAAGAAGTAATGTACATTGTACACCATGTTACAGGCTGGAGAGCTACTCCTGTAAGCTTGTCAGCCAGGAGAAGGCTCTGTACAAGAAGTAATGTACATTGTACACCATGTTACAGGCTGGAGAGCTACNTCCAGGTACGGGGTCTGCAAGTACGGGGCCTGCAGGTCTGGTGGTCTGCACGTACGGGGTCTGTAGGTACGGGGTCTGTAGGTACGGGGTCTGTAGGTACGGGGTCTGTAGGTACGGGGTCTGTAGGTACGGGGTCTGCAGGTGCGGGGTCTGCAGGTACGAGGTCTGCAGGTACGAGGTCTGCAGGTCTGGGGGTCTGCAGGTACGGGGTCTGCAGGTACGGGGTCTGCAGGTGCGGGGTCTGCAGGTACGAGGTCTGCAGGTCTGGGGGTCTGCAGGTACGGAGTCTGCAGGCTGTCTCTTATACACATCTAGATGTGTATAAGAGACAGGTCCACCACACTCCCCCAGTCCACCACACTCCTCCAGTCCACCACACTCCCCCCAGTCCACCACACTGCCCCAGTCCACCACACTCCCCCAGTCCACCACACTCCTCCAGTCCACCACACTCCCCCCAGTCCACACTCCCCAGTCCACCACACTCCCCAGTCCACCACACTCCCCAGTGCACCACACTCGCCAGTCCACGACGGTAGGGCAGCTCTGGCAGGTTCAACCATGGTGGTACGGTCAGGGCGTGAGGTGCGGGCGGCTAACAGCATCACGCCATGTTATCTTCTTCCCCCCTGAGGCTGCAGATCCCTTCCTTCCCCATGTTTATCATTATTATGTGGCACTCTAAAGGTTAAATAATATTATGTGGCACTCTATAAGTGCTTTTACACTGGTAATGTTTTAGCCGATAGTATTAGCGCCTAATATTCTCCGCTACTATCGTCTTCTCTCATCTGTACCTACGACGTTTGAAACCATCGAGTCAAGTCTGCGTTCGGCGAAAGAATAAAGAATGCGAGTATGATAGTGAATTTGAGGCTTCTGATGAAACGTATTGTTAAATTGTTGTTACTCTAGCTGAGTGAAAAACTGCATCAAGCGATTGAAATAACATAGTGTAGATGTAAGACTGACTAGGAAGGAGCGTTAAGTATTATCGACTTGTTTCGTCAAGTTGCTGAGTGTCAACGGCCTGCTAACCACGGCTGCTGTAGCTGTGACAGTAGCTCTACAGCGCGTGCTGGCTGGCTTATGAAATATGAAATTCAAACTCTTTTTAAGTTCAACCACACGCTTCTTGCTACTTTCCACTGAATATGAAACACAAAATTACCATCGAGTATAATACACCAGCTAATTTAATACCAGCGAGTATAATTCACCAGCTAATTTAATACCAGCGAGTATAATACACCAGCTAATATTATCGGCTGGATCTATCCCCGTGTACAAGCAACTTAAGCATTAATTTAATGTGATTCAGACATCACTTAAGTGGCTGAGGTAAAATAATTGTCTATGCATTATCCCAAGGGGGGTAAATTAGTCCAGTTTGGGAACTGCTCTTCTGAAGTGTTGCTGCTTTCGGTAACAAATGTTACTTTGTGTTGCTGCCTTCAGTAACACTTTTCGTGTTCATGTGTTACTGTCGTCTGCTCCCAATACCTCCTCTCGTGGGTACTATCTATCTTTGTTATACAGGAAACTTACATTTATCTCTTAAATTAACTAAAGTCATTTCATTCGTGCAGGTTAACCAGATGTTTTGCTTGTAATTGTTGGCAGTTTTGTTCGCGCTTAATCTGCCCCAAATCAATATTTTTTATCCTAAAATATTACAAACTCTTCGTAACTCGTGTACGAAAACGATGTCAATTGCGCCGTTAGCAATTATTTCTAGATTATTGGTTATCTGTAGCGACGTTTCATTTAGACGTTGACAAAAAAATCTGAATTACCGGTATATGTTTAAATTAATCAGTGAAAATGAATCCTAATGGGTAATTACTTCCATCGCATAAATTCCAACAATAAAGGGAGTATAGGTACATATTATGCGTTTTATCTGATTCATGATGTTGAATCAATGTGACAAATTTGCGTCAGACCTGACGCATTCATCTAAGTATCTCTAGAAATGGTTAACTGCGATGGGGAATTTATAAATAATTTAGAAACGCCACTAAATAATAGGTTTAAATTAGACCGAGTTTAGCCAAATCTAACCGATTATTAGGTTTACTACTGATGATAGTTGTTACTCATGTTACATGTTGAAGCACCGAGTAACAAAAGTCCGTGCAGGCAAAAATGGCTGCCACAGAATTATTATAACCATTCTTCAGACAATAAATTGTGAAAAAAGTATGCAATTAATTGCTATCTACACGGTAGTTTCAGCTCTTTTTTTTTGGGGGGGGGGACGATCACACTCTCTGCCGTGGTGCTTTTCTTAGGTCATATAAGCGTGCGTGTTGGTGGTTGCCATTCTTCCGTGTATATCCGCACTGCAACCCAACCGCGCTGTAGTTGCCGTGTGCCCGTGGTACGGTTAGTTGTATGGCCATGTCCACCGTGTATCCGCGTTACGTCGTCCGCCGTAACCTCCGAGCAATTGTTGCATATATCTTCGTAATGGCCGCCTATATCTGCGTTATGGCCGCCTATATCTGCGTAATGGCCGCCTATATCTTCGTAATGGCCGCCTAAATCTGCGTTATGGCCGCCTATATCTGCGTAATGGCCGCCTATATCTTCGTAATGGCCGCCTAAATGTGCGTAATGTCAACCAAATTGAGCTCAATGGCCAACTAAAACGGCGTAATGACTACCAAAGCGACACAATGGCCACTTTTATCGGTATAATAGCCTACGCTTCTCCGCACAATGGCCTCCGTATATATCCGCGCCATGGCCGTTTTAGTTCCTCGCCATCGCCGTTTTATAATCGCGTCACAACCCTTGCATCACCGTATCATAGCCGTTTTATCATCGCGTCACCGCCGTTTTATCTCCTTGTCATAACCGTTTTATCTCCGCGTCATGGCCGTTTTATCTCCGCGTCATGGCCGTTTTATCTCCGCGCCACTGCCCTTTTTTTATCGCCGTTTTATCTCCTCGTCATAACCGTTTTATCTCCTCGTCATAACCGTTTTATCTCCACGTCATGGTCGTTTAATCTCCACGTCATAGCCGTTTTATCTCGGCGCCACCGCCTTTTTTTATCTCCGCGTCATTGCCGTTTAATCTCCGCGTCATCGCCGTTTAATCTCCGCGTCATACCCGTTTTATGATGGCATTATGTCCGTGTTATGTCCGCAACGCTGGCCCATGTCTCACCAGAAGCAGCTCGGACAGCAGCACGTCAGCCAAATGCTCGAGCTCGCTGGCAGAGTCCGACTCTGAGGCTGGGGTAGAAGAAGATAAGATTGTACGCAAGACGCTGTTCTACCTCGTGTCTACCCTCAATGCTTCTTTCTACCCCGACTATGACTTCAGTAACGCCACCTCCAAGGAGTTCTCCAAGGAACATTCTCTTCAGGTGCGAACAAAAATAAGGGAAGTGTTCTCAGCACAGATGTTCCCATAATGATGGAATGTATGTATGGTGCACTCAAAAAAATGAGTAAGTGATCATACTATTATTTTCTCCTAACAAAGAACTCATTTTCTGCATGTAGCACTGATACGTTCTTTTATCAGGAAAACATACACAAGGGCAAAGAGTGCATAGTTCTTTGGACAAAATCTCGCTTATTGCTCTGACTGCATAGGCTGAAACAGGTGCTCAGATACGAGATACCTATAACAATTACTTATATTATTATATAATATTAACAAATGGTTAACGGACGAGAAAAATATTTTCTATTATTATATTAAATTTGTATTTTATGTTAAATTGTTGACAATGAATCGATAAAGAAATCGTTTGAAAGCAACTGCTACCTCGTCAGGGCGATGTCAATTGGCATACAGTTTATTATATTTAAGCGAAACAATTGGTTAAGTTTGCCAATTATTAAATTAACAATCAACTGTCAAACAATTGATGTGTCAGGGCGTTATGCTTGATGTCAATTTCATACAGTTTATTATCTTTAAGCGAAAGAATTGGTTATCCTTGCCAATTAATAAATGAACAATTAATGAAAAAATAATTGATGTGTCAGGGCGAGTTGCTTGATGTTAATTGGCATAGGCCATAGAGTTTATTATATTTTAGCGAATCTATCGGTTATGCATACCAATTAATAAGTTAACAATTAACTGTTAAACAATTGATGTGTCAGGGCAAGTTTTTTTGACGTAAATTGGCGTACAGTTTATTATCTTCAAGCGAAACAATTGGTTATGCTTGTCAACTAATAAATGAACAATTAATTAACAAATACTTGACGTGTCAGGGCGTGATGCGGTCTGTGGAGCGTCAGCTACAGGCGCACTCAGAGCTGACGTCGGTGTGCGACAAGCTGTGGTCAGCCATCGACGAGGCTGTCAGCCTCGCTGGCTGCGAGATCTACACTTACAACCCTGGTCAGTGTCAGCCGTTATACTCAGCAGTGTACCTTAATAATGATGTCAGTGTACATGTATACTTTCATTATACCAGTTTATACCAGTCAGTGTACCTCATGTTTACTGATCAGTATAGCTCCATTATACTGATCAGTGTACGTCAATAATGATGGTCAGTGTCCGTGTATATTAAAATTATACTGAGCGTTGTACCTCAATAATATTGGTCAGTGTCTATTAATTAACTTTCCTGCAGACGAGAACTCGGACCCGTACTCCGACGACGTGCTGTGGTCGTTCAACTACTTCTTCTACAACGCACGTCTCAAGCGCATAGTCTTCTTGACCTGCAGACGCATCACCAGCCTCCTCAACACCTCCAGCTCTGCAGACTACGGCTTAGACTCCGACGTAGACTTCGACGATTAGATCTCTGCAGACCGTTGCCTGGACTCTGCAGACCATTGCTTGGACTCTGCAGACTATGGCCTCGAAACCGACGTCGATTTCGACGATTAGATCTCTGCAGACCACTGTTTGGACTCTGGAGACCATTGCCTGGACTCTGCAGACCGCTGCTTTGGACTCTGCAGACCAGTGCTTGTACTCTGCAGGCCGTTGCTTGGACTCTGCAGACCGCTATATTGGACTCTGCAGACCAGTGCTTGGACTCTGCAGACCGTTGCTTGGACTCTGCAGACCAGTGCTTGTACTCTGCAGACCGTTGCTTGGACTCTGCATGCTTGGACTCTGCAGACCGTTGCTTGGACTGTGCAGACCGCTATATTGGACTCTGCAGACCAGTGCTTGGACTCTGCAGACCGTTGCTTGGACTCTGCAGACCAGTGCTTGGACTCTGCAGGCCGTTGCTTGGACTGTGCAGACCGCTATATTGGACTCTGCAGACCAGTGCTTGGACTCTGCAGACCGTTGCTTGGACTCTGCAGACCATTGCTTGGACTCGGCAGACCATTGCTTGGACTCTGCAGACCGTTGCTTGGACTCTGCAGACCGCTATATTGGACTCAGCAGACCATTGCTTGGACTCTGCAGACCACTGCTTTGGACTCTGCAGAGCGCCACTTTGGACCATGCAGACCACTGCTTAGACTCTGCAGACCACTGCTTTGGACTCTGCAGACCGCTGCTTTGGACTCTGCAGACCGCCACTTTGGACTCTGCAAACCGCTGCTTTGGACTCTGCAGACCGCTGCTTTGGACTGTGCAGACCGCTGCTTTGGACTCTGCAGACCGCTGCTTTGGACTGTGCAGACCTCTACTTTGGACTCTACAGACCGCTGCTTTGGACTCTGCAGACCGATGCAGACCGTTACTTTGGACTGTGCAGACCACTGCTTTGGACTCTGCAGACCACTGCTTTGGACTGTGCAGACCGCTACTTGGACTGTGCAGACCACTGCTTTGGACTGTGCAGACCGTTGAAGCGACCGACAATTTATTTTTATTCATAATACGGATGTCTGATAGCTTTTAATCATTTCTCCTGAGCGTTAGCCCCCGATGGCTATAAGGAAACGCTAAATGTTTGAAATATTTCTGAAATAATTTCATCTTCTTTCATATTATGCCACTTGAAGAAAAAATTTAAAATGTTTTCTGCTTCTATTTTAATTTAGTAGTAACGTTTTTCCCTGACCGGGCTTCTCGGTTTTCGACAAATGCGTCGCTCTTAAATGAAGCGAATGTTTATTAAGAAATTCTACTTGTTTTTTTTCTTCTGTATACTATAGTCATCTCATTAATTACTTTATTTTCTGTAAATACGTTTCAAGGTACAACTTAGATATTTTCTTAGTATTAATCAGAGTAACTATAACCCCCTTTATCGTCTTGCTTCACTATCGTCGTTGATACTTACTATTACTTAGTAAAATAGTATCATTATTTTATCTCCTTAATGAACCTAGTTTAAAATTATAGCAGGTTTATAGTCAATAAGACAGGATTATAGCCTAATGAACCTAGTTTAAAAATTATAGCAGATTTATAGCCTATAAGACAGGATTATAGCCAATATATTCACTAGTGTGGCATGTGTGGCCATTCTGTACATAGTAGATATTCCGCTTCGTCCTGTACATTGTAATGTTTGCGTCTATTACAATGTACATTGTAGTGTGTGTATCTTAAAGTTTATCGCTGGTGCTCGCGAAGCAATATTAGACGGCTCATGAAAGTAGATATTCTTTTGAACGATCGTCCCTTTTATTGTATTGTTTGCATTGTATCTCAAATTATTGGCGTGCTCGCTTCACCATACGCATTACTTTACGTTCAGTTTACCCACAAAACAATGTAAAATCAGTGCGTTTTTGTCGTATTAGAAGCGTATCTGATGTGTTGCTAATCGGAATCGTTTACTGAACTCATAAATTATATAACTTGCTGCTCATTTCGTTGTTTCATAAAATTGTGATGTCATTTACGTTGCTAGATTGATTCGCTACGATGCATGGCAAATGGTATTGTGATAGTTCAGTCTGATCGAACTGTTCACATGCAATCTAGAATCTCTAGATTTTATTTTGAATTTTGCGTGTAGACGAAAATCTTTTCTGATTATTCACTGTATTGCTAGCGGTAAATGAAATTATTAAGAGGATGTTAAGTTAGAAAAAATAATTTTGTCCTTCGGGTATAATCCGATAAAGTCTGTACAAATATTGTAAAGATTTCGAAAATGAGTAATTATTTGAATATCTTGCAATTTTAGCAGGTAACAATCCGAAAAAGTATTATCAACAAGACCTATTTTATTATCAGTCCATATGTACCTTCTTTGTATGCAATTAGTGCAATATAAAAACAATCATTCGCGGTTGCGTGCATTTTTGCAGATTTTTCCCATTTGTGCAAGTATTACAGTTTAGAACTCAGTATATATAAACAAAATATTATTCGTATGATTTATTTTTAGTGTATAGGTAATGAAAACTCGTTCTGTAGACGTGTGTATTTAGGTAGGAATATGTACAAAAATAGGAGTGTACTTGAAGCTAAGCAGGGTACATGTACAGCAGTTTACATATTCAGTTGTACAGAGCTGCCTATCACTCAGCTATACACAGCTATATATCTCGTGGTGGTTCAATGTACACAGCTGGATACCTCTTAGCTGTACACAGTTGTATATCTCGTGGTTGTACAATGTACACAGCTGTATACTTCTTAACTGTACGCAGCTGTATACTCCTTCGCTATACACAGCTGTGTATGAATATTAACATTACATTATACAGAGGTTTGTAGCCATTCGGTATGTACAAGAAATTACATTTAGGTACGAATAAAAATCCATGTTTTGATGTCGCCCATATATCCCACATGTAGGCCGTACAAATAATACATAATTACACACTTATATTTTAATATCGTTTTCATTAATCTTACCTTCTTTTTATTTTGTACATTGCACTTGTTTGGTTAGATGTTCACAGCTGACGAAGCATCAACAAGGAATGTGTTCATCTCGGAGGAATTGGCTGTTCTATCAGAGATTATTCGATCATTTTATGCATAATAACATTTCATTCCCCAGTAAATCAGTCCACATTCTATCCAATTTAAAATTTCTAATTCATTAATTATTTTCTCTAAACGTTACTGATCTTCGGTAAACAAGTTGATAGTCAACTAGTGCTTTTGATAGGAATAATATCAGGACTGTAACAGATTGGACTTCTCATGACTTGCCGGATGGTTCAAAAGCAATAAGTTATTTGGGAGGCCCGAGTGACTCTAAAACAGAGTAATTTCAACAGACATAAATGTGTGACAGGTTTATCTATCAGACCAACAGCAGATGGTATAGGTATTTGAATATCTTGTAATTTTAGCAGTGAAGAATCTACGAAAGTTTTATCAGCAAAATTTTCGTGGCAAGCCTGTTCAACGATGAAGGTGAGAAGACATGCGGTTTTCCTGTTCAAACAGCAATGCATTTTCGGTTCCGTATTGGTAACGTGTCTAATGTTCTCTGTACATCATAGTCCTCCTGTATTATTAGCGCGTGTAATAATACGGAAGACTTTAAATACAAGAACTGACCGTCAAGCTTAGTATTACGACACCTCATCTGCTGCACTATAAATGCCTGGGCCAAGCGCTTCGCTAAGAAAAATGAATCGGTCAAATTGTCCAAATTGTGACACTTTTTGCACGTAGCACTGATATGTTGTCATGCCGTTCCAAATTGATGAAAAAACCCATACAAAGAGCAAAAACTATATCGCTATTGGGACATATTCTCTCCTTGCTCCAAGTATTCTTTACATGCCATAAAGCGAGCGAAAAGTGCACCGCAATTAGACTCGCGACGAAGGCTGATAAATTTTTCTTATTTTCCCAATGAAATTAGTTGTTCGTGAGCAAGTTGACCCAACACGTTGGAAGACATGAAGATGAATAAATTTCACATAGGCGAGTAACTTGACTTTACTGCTTAACTTTTTTCATTCGGTGACAAGGTATCGAAACCATCCAACTTTTGCTTGGTGTTGGGACAGAACCTCAATTTGTGTTTACTACAACTCAAGCTTGGCGTTAAACAACTTGTCAACAGATTTCTTTTGTTTTCATTCTAAGTTAAGCAGAGGCACACAGGAAACACGAACCCACTTGATGGAAGCGGCAGACCTGGCAAACTCGGTCAAACTCTCACGAAACTATGCAGTTCTTATCCTTGTCCTGGTTAATCCTACGCCTATTGCCAACCGCAGTGTCGGCCGTAAGTTGACTTTGCTCTCTTTTGGCGAGAGCCAAAGCATCGTTCGGCACGTAATTAATCCTGACTCCTCCGTATGCTCTTCTTGGGGGCAATTCGTAGTCAAAGTCTGACGAAGACGACGAAGAACAGGTAGAACACACGGACTCGTTGTCCTCCCAGTTCTGCAGGCCAGGAACTGACGTGGTCTTCTTGGGTCCCTCGTCATCGCCGGCTACAGACCCAGAGTACGACTGGGACCGCGGGACTGTCCCATTACAACCGCTGTGGTTACGACGCCGGTGTCTTTCGTGCCGGCTTTGTCGCTTCGATAGCGGTTTACTTATGCCGTGATCGCCGCTACTCATGTCGAATGCCGTGGGTGCAGACCCAGATGATGAGGAACTCTCCGAGTGATCTTTTCTTCGTCCGTTGCATTTGAGATTCTCCTGACTCGCGTTTACTTGACTTGGGTCAAATCGAACAGTTCTTGGTTGTCGAGGCGTTTTATCAGGTTTGTGTTGGCGGTTGCCAGCGTTTGGGGAACTGGAACTTGATGATCCGCCGAGCTCGGCCTCCGTGTCTTGACTGACGTCGTTTACGGCCAGAAGTGCGTCAATGTTGATGTCAGACAAATCAGAAAGATCGAGAGGTTGCCTTCTAGAAGCACGAGTGAGAGCATCCTGACTGAGCACAATGTCTTCTAGTTGGACAGAAGGTGACGTGTTCGCAACCTCTCGCAGAATTGATAGGCCTTTCTCGGTTAAAAATTTGCCTAAAGATCTTTCTAGCACGAGTCGGTCAAGCGCTCCAGCATTTCCATCGTTAAGTTTATGCTTAGCATCATTTGCTTCGATGTCCCCGCAAGCCTGAGTGGATGGAGTGGAAGACCGCGACATCTGCGAAGAAACTTTGGACGATGGACTTTCGTACGGTGAAGGTGCGTCGACGCTGTTTTCACAAGAGCGCTCTTTTTTGCTCAGCTGAGGAGATGAACGAGGTATGTGATTCATTCTAGGAGATCGAACCATAACGACATTCTTGCCTTCCCCACCCTCCTCACTGATCGATCTATTGCGGTCGATAATTCGAGGAGACGAATTCCGTGAACCGTTCACTCTATTTTTGTTGCTGTTGCGCTCACCAGAAGGACTGGAAGTCAATCGAGGTGAATTTTGAACGCCATCGAAAATTGAACTGCGGCTGGAAGGCCGTTCTGGCAGAGGACGAGTTTTCTTGTCGAAGGAAGTTTTGGTCAGCGAAGGCGAGTTGGAGGAACGATTGCTGGGCGCCGGTGATCCTGTAGCTCTGATGTTGCGCTGTGCAGGAACGGAGTTGACAACGCTACTGTAGACATTTTCATCCGCTGTGTTCTGATCAAGAAGATTTGAATAAGATGAATGATGGGGACGCGCGTTCCTTGATGCTTCTGGACGAGGCATCTCCGATCCAGAACTTTCTTCGACAAATGAAGTATCGGAGGATCTGTGTCGTGTTCGATCATTTTTCTGTTTCGACAAATTGATTGGAAGAGTTTGTGTGTTGTGAACTTTACGACTAATTCGGGGGGAGGGCGAGTTGCTAGCATCCGATGCAAATCCTTTCTTGGGTTTGGGATACAGAGAATTAGAAGCTACGGTCGAATCCGACGTGTAACCCGAAACTCGCGGGTTTTTTGCGGTGTGTTTGTTGCGGTTAGGTTTGCTGGCGACTGGAGTGTTGGCATTACTGTCGGACGGTGTAGGAGGCTCTCCTTTACTGCAGGCAATCGAGCAGTAAATGGAACCTCGGCGTGGCAGGAAGGGGCGGCCAAGGAGCGAAGACTGGCAGGTGTGAGTGTCACAATATTCAGCAAACATGGAGTCGAAGCAGTGCAGACAATATGGCCGACCGTCGCGCATGATGTAGCGCTGACCCCCCAGGCGCGCGTCGCACTCGAAACACGCAAAGTGTTTCATGTGCCACGCGCGGCCCTCCGCCTCCGTGCACTCGTCCGATAAAATTATCTGCACAGAAAAATATATAATTAATTTCATTCAAGAAGTGAAAAATGGAGAATGAAAATAAAGTAGTGAGCATTTTCTCGTGAGATATCACAGACAAAATAATCTGCAGTAAAAATTATCTGAAACTAGTCACTGAATCAAAATAACCTGAAGCATCTAAATATTATTCACTGATGTTAGATAGAGTGTCAGTGAACCATCAGGGACAAACTGTACAGTTTGTAATCTTCAATGTTGAACCGCTGCTTCAATGAGACATGCCATTATCAAGTCGCAACCCCTCCACAAAACCCATCGAAGTTTTTTATTGTGAATTTGTTATCTTCTTCGTTCAATTTAACCACATCTAAACCTCTAAGACATAGTTCAGTTCAGTTCTCTCCGCACCATAAGGCGCACAAGGCTTGGACGTCACTCCTCCACTGGGTCCGGTTTGCAGCTGCCTGCCGTGCTATGTTACGCCTCCTCACATCCACTGTGCTCCCACCATCCTTAGTGACGTTTGCACCCAGATATGTGAAGCTCTCCACTTCCTCCACCTCGCTCTCTCCAGCCCTAAGCTTGTTGTTGCTCCTGCTGTTGACCTTCAATATCTTGCATTTCTTGGCATTCAGTTTTAGCCCCACTTTTGCTGCATTACTCTCAAACCTGGTTGTTTTTTGCTGCAGGTGATTCATTGTTGAAGACAGAAGGGCAATGTCATCTGCAAAGTCAAGGTCCTCCAGCATGGTCGTTAAATTTCATCGGAGCCCAGTTCTTTCACCTTCCACAGTCCTGCGCATTACCCAGTCGATCACAAGGAGGAACAAAAATCCTGACATGCAACACCCCTGTTTCACTCCTGTCCTTACTGGAAACCACTCTGTTGTTTCGTTCTCATCAATCACGGAGCACTGAAAGTCCTAGTAGAGAGTCCTGACTAGCCGGATCAGCTTCTGAGGTATTCCATATTGGCGCATGATGGCCCAAAGGCTGTCTTGGTGTATTGAATCAAATGCCTTCTCAAAATCAACGAAGTGGACGTACAATGCAGCGTTCCATTCGTTGGCTTGCTCTAGGATGTTTCTGAGAATGAATATCTGGTCGACAGTTCCTCTTCCCCTCCTGAAGCTTGCTTGTTCCTTCCTGAGCAATGTATCCACTCCACCTTGTATCCTGTTGAAGAGGATCTTGCTGAGCACTTTGCTGGCCAGAGGCAACAATGTAACTCCCCTCCAGTTTCCACAGTCCTGAAGGTTCCCTCGTTTTGGGATTTTGCATATGAGTCCCTTGGTCCACGGTGTCGGCACCAAGACATAAATACAGACATAAATACAGACTAATTATATGCATAGCGCCTTTCTTGTCTCTTAATTCCTGTCATTCAAGTTTCTCTTTCGCTTTCTTGGCCACCTCTTGTTTTCATTCCTTATTTCACTGCACTACCGTAAATCTCAGCTAGCACGAAACACTTTGCGAAGGCTTCTTGAAAAGCGAAAGCCAAGTGAATTCATCAGAAGTAGCCTATATCCTAATACATTAAAAACACGTGATCTCATCTCACAAAGAAGATAGCTGTCGGTGGTCTGTGCGTAAATTCGCCATTGATGAAAACGTTTGTCGCAAGCTGACACGATTGAACCGAAAAGTAAAAATGTTGAATATAAGTAAATCCAGGCCAAGTAGAAAGTTGACATTAATGGATAGATAAAACTAAGTTACGTTACTCACTTACATTACCATTATATTACCTAACTTACATTATCATTAAATTACCATTAACTTCTTGTCATTACCATTACTACTTCTACATTACCTCATCACAGGCGGCGCAGCGCGGCTTGAGGCTCTCGGCGTGATGTCTACCGCAGTAGAGCGCTAATATCTAACATACTTTACTATATTACCATTACCTAACTTACATTACCATCACCTTACTAACATTACCATTACCACTTCTACATTACCTCATCGCAGGCGGCACAGCGCGGCTTGAGGCTCTCGGCGTGATGTCTACCGCAGTAGAGCGCTAATATCTAACTTACATTACCATTATATTGCCATTACCTAACTTACATTACCATTACCTAACTTACATTACCATTACCACTTCTACATTACCTCATCGCAGGCGGCGCAGCGCGGCTTGAGGCTCTCGGCGTGATGTCTACCGCAGTAGAGCGCCCCGTCCTTCCAGAAGTAGATGAGATCTACGAGCAGCTCGCGACACACGCAACACGTGAAGCACGCGGGGTGCCAACACGTGCTGGGACCCGCGCGCGCCGCGCTCACTACGATGTCACCCCCGCTCACGCCTTCTTGACACTGAATGCAGAATAATGATCACTAGAGAATAATAATAATTATTCAGAGTGGACTTAATAATTTATGTGGACTAAATTTATTTCTACTATCATTTTAGAAAATAATAGTAGAATAGTCCACTCTACTATTATTTTAGAAAATAATAGTAGAGTGGAAGTTAGTAATAATATATATAAAGAAAATAAACGTGTCATAATTACGTGATAATTTGGCAAACGATTCTGATACGAATAAGAGGATACGAACTTTATTCTGATACGAATGAAGGGAACAGTTGTGATCATAATAATTGTGAAGGCAATGGCGTATGATAACGGAAAACAGAGAAGCTATCAATATATCGTGCAAAGCTGCTGCGATGGTTTTGAAATATTATAACGGATGAAGTTAGAAATACTGCACGTCAAAATGACGTTATAAAGCAAGCCCGCTCATTCGGTTGGAAGTCGGTCAAGAGATTAATGAACTGCTGCGAGTGTATGAGAGTATCGCAACACAACATTGAACTTGGATCAAGCTGAATTTTCCTTATCCGGATACTTTTACTACGCCGCAACACGGGAACACGCTAATCGCATCGAGAGTTAAGCAAACTAAGCAAAACCGAAACAACATATAAAGACAGAGCTTATTTTTTAGTTACTCCCGGAAATCATTTTCTACGAACGTTGGTAAGTTTATAGTCGGATATATGACTTATTTAGCCTAGTTACCCGTTAACTGGAACAAAAAAAAAATTAGTCCATGCAATTTCATTTACAGTCATAGCTATCAACAGTACGTAATCTGAATATTCATGAATATTACCTATCAATATGTTCCTAATATTAGCGCGGGGCTAATTTGGTATACGATCACGATATCCCAGTTCTCATATTTTTTTCATGATTATCATTCAATAAGTAACCTGGACTCCGAACTTTTATTCAATAAGTAGCGAGACAACTTCTTCCCTTACGTGTTTCATTTCCCGGTACGAGTCACGGTTGTAGGTTTGGTCACGCGTATCAATTGATCTAGAAGGAGCATGATACAGCCAACCGTATGGCGAGAGTTATATCTAAACGGACTAGAGATACCGCGCGTTAGCACTCCAAAGTTTTACAAACAACGTAAACAAAATCGTTTGGCTGGATAAAATAGATGTTTGTAATCAGAGATACGGTGCAGGTGAATAGTGAGCAGGTCGCCTGTGCGCAGGTCAACAGTGAGCAGGTCACCTGTGCGCAGGTCATGTCGTGCGGCAGGCTGAGCGGCAGCTGCTTGACGGAGCCGCGGCCCAGCGACTCGCGCTTGCGCTGCGCAGAGAACAACCGCAACTCCCGGCGCTCCTCCTCCGACAGGCCGTTGCAGTAGCGCACCTGTTGGCATGTTAGCAACATGTTAGTGACATGCGAAAATAACAAACTATCGATTAACAATTTCAAGTGAATAAGAACTGTTAGCGTTATCAAGGCCAGGTATCCAGTTATAACGTTCATGAATACAGTTGTGCGCGGTGCGCACCAGCGTACGTCGGAATGACGTCTCGTAACTTCTACATCGCAGGGCAGCAGCAGTTACCTCGTTGTCGTGGGGCGGCAGTTGGTGCAGCAGTTGCTTGATTCTGTACTTCTCCCCCACAGAATTCACGTAAGGCACTTTGTCTTCAGGCAGCGCTGAGAAGTACAAATGAACCTGCAACAAAATGAAACATTGGAAACCATATTGCAACCTATTTACAAATATATGAGCAGAAATAATAATTAAAACAATAGAAAAATTAAATGCAATACTTTCCTTAATATTGAGGATTAATGATTCGTTAGAAGATATAACATTCTATTGGACGTTGTCGGCAACTGTATAGGTATATAAAATTCAAAAATACGGATACGTTGGTGTCAATAGAATAGGCACAAAAAATATTTCTCTCAGAAGGTGCTCGAGAAAAATTCGTTCACAATTACACACTAGGACAAAATTTTTCGTAATAAACGTACACGCTTGACGGCTATTTTCTTCATTTACGGTGTGATATACTAATTCAAAAGATGGTAATGCAGCGATAATTGAGAAAAACTAAGTTCCAACTTGTAAAGCTTGTATAATAACAACTGGACTCGCACGATCGATCAAAAAATATTAAAAGTCACCAGGCAATTGCATGAAAATTAACTTTCTTGGCCTTAATAAAGAACTAAACGCTGAATAACATCTTTTTAAAATTAAAATCTTAAATAATATGCTACTGCACGGACTCTCATATGGGACAGCATATGGCGTATATGCAAAAACAAAGCGGCTCGCATGATATTGAACAAAGAGTGTCCGCTTGTAATAAAGTCTTGCTTCAATAAGTCATGACCCTCTCGCTAGTTGCCTTCAGCTGTGCCTCCATGAGTGCCTATAAGTAAGTCAATATCCGTCGCTCTCATTGCCAATAACCCAGAAAATATCAGAGGGTGACGTGACAAATTTCATGTATGCAGACGTGGCCTGAAACTTCCAGCGATGACGCCAGCCTGCCAGCTGCACGTATTCAGCTCTGACGGGTAATTGCAACATGCAAGTTATGGCCATAACTTTGCTAGTAACTAACTCAGACAAAATGATTCATTCTCACTTTTGAGAGATAATTTCGAAGCTATAATCACCGCGATGACTTTACCAGTGTATTAAAAACAATAAATTTATATACTCCCACTTGAAACGGATAATTTCAACTGCACATCACGAAGATAACTTTGTTGCGATATGATATAAACAAAATAATTCGGATTTAGTACGAGCGGTGTATTAAATCCGATATATAGATTATAATATAATACATACACATGTCATGTAATACATATATATCTATTATAATATAGTATATTAATTATTTATATAATTAATAATACATGGTAAATAATACCATGGTAGAGTATAGAGAAATTCTGAAATGAAACTAAGGGAGAAATTTCTCCTTCTAAAAATGCAGGATATTCTTTCTAATTTCGGAGCTCGGCGCCGAATAAAAATGTATACCAACAGCTTAGTGATAATTAGCAATGAAAGAGATTCAGTATTAGGATGATTAGCTAGTTACATTAAATATTATTGAGTTACCGTTGGCATGATGCTGTGCATGTCGATGGTTCTATATATGTAAGGTCTCGTGATAGTTTGATCAGACATCGGAAAATATTGTCACTAGTGTAATTAGATTTAATGTCTAGACTTTACGTCATTAGATTTAGTAAAAGAAATGCTAGAAATCAAATAAAAATCTATATTGTTTTAAAAGTTAAGAAACGCACGAAGAGTAAAGAGATTGAACTCATGAAAATGCACAGTTTTATTTGACTAATTAAGAGTCAATATGTGACACGTTAGACTGAATAATATAACCCGAAAGCGCTGGGATGAAGCGTTACATTGACAAACTAAAGGTTACCGAGTACGCACTTGCACATGAGAATCGTTGTCAATAATTTCCAGGTAAATTGACAATTTAATCGAACAATTATATTTTATTTTATAACTTAATTATACAAAGGAATCAGTTGCAAATTTTATGAAAACAAACGCATAAAGAGTATTTAGAGCTCTATAGTTGCGGAATATTTTCTAATTTATTTTTGAACTCCTAGAGAAATGTGATGCTCAGCAGCTTCTAATATCGCGTTGAAAAGAATCTTGGATAGAGTCCAGAATTATTATTTAAATATTGAATCCTTTAAAAAATACAATAGGATGAAAAATGCGCCGTGGATGAGGTAGAAATTAAAAAAATGCTCTACTTTCAGAGTTCACATTCTTTCGACAGTTCATGTCACATTAGAGGGCCAAGGGGACGGCTCTATTTTTCAATAGGGGTTGAGTGCCGTTGACGATAAATTTTGTCAGCCGCTCCATTGAAGACAAATTTGCTGGAATGGCATCCCGGTTACTGACGACTCTGTGCGGACTTGTTGAACTAACGCAAACTTGTTGAATCTTTGCAAACAAGTTGAATTTCTTGAAGAATTGTGAAGAATGTATGCAGACTTTTTGGATTCGTGTAGACTTATTAACTTGATGCAGAATTCTCGAGTTCATGTGGACTTTTTGACTTCATGCAGACGGCTTCGGTTGGTGAAGACATGTTGACTTAATAATACTGACTACATATGAGTTTAAGCAGATTTTAAGTATCAAAACATACTTTTTGGCTTCTTGCAGAACTTTTTGACTTCTTCGCTCCTTAGACAGCCGTTTCTACAGACGTGTCCGATGATTAGATGATTTAGTTAAACTGCACCGAAGAGGCTGGATCTTGCCGCTATATAGATGATAACACAAGACGAACGCTCAGGCGTGTTCATGAGTTACATCCAATGGGAATGGGAATCTATTTCTGATAATAACATTAATTTAAAATTTGTATCACGAAAATATGAACTTCTTGGCCCCCATTTTGGAAAAATGAACCATGGTATTAACATTCATTACACAATTATAATCTAAAACATCAAACATTACCAAATTTTCCAATCAACTGTCCAAACTGAAATAAAAGTGAATTAGATTCTCTTTGAGAAACCAAAAGGCATGCGAATCCGTTTTCTTTGTATTGCAGAACAAATGAACAACGGAAAACTGTACAATTATTATGTTACCATCATACCATAATGTTATAATATGTTACCATAATTTGAAGTAACAAAATATATGAAAATCAAATATCATTTAACACAGCTGAATGTAACAAAGTGAATGCATTTAACACAGCTGAATGTTAAAAGTTAATGTATTTAATACAGCCGAATGTGGAAAACTTGATTGTTAAACCATATATTACAAGACAAGAGAGGAGGGAAGGATGAAGGGGAATAAGGGTAGCGTGGCCCTGGTGCTGTAAATTCCATGCAATTGGAAGAGGGGAAAACGATGACTTGGAGTCGTAAAAACGCCGTTAATTCTGCATGGCTGAACAATACAGGCACTGCGTCTGCGAATTCAATACTCAATATTAAAGCGTTTTCAAGGAGCAGTAAGTTTAACTTTTAAAACCTTACGTACCGCCCTTTAGCAAAAAAGAAATAGCCACTAAAAGGCTAATTTTTTGGGCGAAAAAAAGAGTAACTTTGTCTATTTGTCCTTATATAAAGGACCTTTAAAACGATTGTTTTAAAAATTATTAGTTAATGCAGGTTGCGTTTTGTAGCGGTCGTAAGTTAAACTCCTGGAACTTTTAATTACAGTCTTGAGGGCTGTTGATGGCAGAAAATAAATAAAATAATCGGCTTTCTTATTGACTTTTTATCATTATCACCAAATAACTCAAAATAATAGTTTACAAGCCACGAAATTAGTTGAGAAGTCCAACTAATATGAAAAAAGTACATGAATGTGAATGAGCTATACTTAATTATCTGAATTCAGAAGTCTACAGGTAATTAAATAATTCAATTAAGTCATTCAGTTAAGTAGTCATGCAGTGAATGACTACTTAAGTACTTCACTTCACCGTAGAAAGAAAAAGCACCTCTCATGCACCTAATTCCACCCTATAAGCTTCACTGACAATAATGAACAAAACTTTCGTCTGGAAGTTGCTAGAAAGCAGTGCTTTGAAGCTACATAATTATATAAGAAAAAACTAAACACAAAAATATTATTTTATTATTTATCCAACAAATGCAACTTGTTTTTCTGCAATTGAATATCAGGACTACAGAGGAGGCAAGCCACTTAATCCCGCCCTTAAAAATTCACCTCACGCACGACGCAACTGAAGCCCTCACTTCCCAACCCCTCAGTTCATTTCTCATTTCCCTCGTACCATTGGTAATGGACAGAAGAAGCCGAGTTTTTCTATGGATCTACGAAAAAATCTAATGGAAATCTTTCAAGTCCCTCGGGGTTACTGGAAAGCAATTTTTTGGAAGAAATTGACGTTCTTTGTCGGATGGAGAATGAGTGAAGTATGCAACACCGACAATCCGCGATAATGGAAAAAATTACAATGGTAAAATGTATAAAAAAATTAAACAAATATGTGAATCTATTAACTCACTGCGTTTATTTCAAAATAAATAAAGAAGGTTCATTTTCACGGCAGTCAAAAGTATCAAGAATAGCGGAAAAAATTATATTAACGATTCTAAAATTTCTGTTTGACTGAATGGCAAATTAGAGTTTTTATTTGTGCTGACTCCGAACAGCCGTTGCCAGCGGCAATAAATAAGTTGCCCCAGGTCTGCTCCTGAGACGACACGACATGTGCATTAACTTCTCCGAATTTATGGAAAGCAGCAGCGGGCGTGACTGAAGAACGCAGTAAAATGGAAGCGGGGGATGCCAGTGGAATGCACGGAATGGATGAGTAGCCCCTTCCGAAAATGCATTCCTGAGCTGTTAACAAACCGATTTTAATTGGTAATAGCTTGTAGCTAACCACTATTTCTCACTCTAAACCGTGGAATCAAATTAAATGAGCAACAATTAGCATGCATCAATTGTTTCATAATTGTCACCATTTGCATAGACTTCTGAATTAGGCGCTGAAACACATTTTATTTGCCCCCACCATTACCACCAGAAAATTTCATCTATTATCCCACGGGAGTAATTCATAATTAATGGTTGAATATCAGCCTAAAGTCAATTGTGCGACTGAACATTAAAGCTGAACCTGGCATTTCTAGCTGCGGCAGCTACCAGTGTTGAAA